GGGGACTGTGGGGCGTAATATACGGTTACCGTCGGAGGTTATGGGATTTGAAGTTAAGGGTTTGGCTTTCGCTGCAAGAGGCTACCGTTCCGGCGGTTCAAGGGTTTGGGAGTTTACGCCTTGGGGATTTCGGGTAGGATTTATGGCGGCCATATATTGCGTTGGGCCTGAGCGCAAGCGATTTGAAGAGTTTAGTGTGTGGTTGTTGTCAAATGGGTGGTTCTCTAAAGTAGGGTCCCTTTTTAGGTCCCATATATAATACGGCACCCTTATAGAAACGACCCCTAAAAGGGGACCCTAATTTAGAGAACTACCCAAATCCTACAGTACTGCAGCCTCATTGCTGAATTCAACAGCCCGCCGAATTTGAAAGCTTCAGGGCAAGCTAATGTCCGGGTGAATTTGATGTGTCCCCCTACGTACCCGTTCGCTTCTTTGGGGCAAAAGCTTCGGAACATGTACTGTTATTTACTGTAGATTTCTGTAGATCCGCAGTAGTCTAAAGTACACGATGCTTCTTAACGGAACACAAGAGCCAGTAAACAGTAAATTCCTGAACCGCTAAATCCTGCAGGTCTGAGCCGACAACTAACCTGCCCAGGCTTTCTTCAGCTGTCGGCAATCCGAGGCCGAAAGCTGTGAATGCACCGACTTGCGAGAGCGACCGTAGAACTCTAAGGCCTAAGCTTGAACGAACCCTAAACTCTGCCTCCTCCTAAATCTTAAAACCTCGACCCTAAACCCTACCCATAGGCCCCATAGTAGTTCCTTTTTGGGGTTACCTTATGGCATTCTATATATGAACCCCAAAAGGGAACTATTTTAGGGCCTATGGGTAGAGCCATCCGCAAGCCCATCTTCCGCAGAATGCGACCCGGCTCGTTCGGGCCACGCTGACGTCTTGCCGATCGTGCCGTGGCTTGTGGGTTAGGGCTTCCCAGAGACTCCAATACCCCTTCCAATACCCCTTCATTAAGGAATATACCTTAAATTATAGTAGGATCCCTAATATGATTTAAGGTATATTCCTTAATTAAGGGGTATTGGAGTCTCTGGGTTTGCAGGTTTGCAAAGGGTCCAAGTACCTAGGCGGTTCATTGTCGATATCAGGGCACCCAAAAGTAAATACTGCGCTCTTGGACCGTTGGGGTGATTCTACACGGCTATGAAAATAGGTTTCCGAGCTTGGGGTTCAGTGGTTAGGGATGGTTCCGCCATAGATATGTAGTTGAAGTTCACTTTCTCGAAGTGTTGGGATGAGTGGGTGGTGTGGACACAGGGTTCAGGGCTTTGGGCTGTGGAAAATTAGGAATTAGGAGCTTACCGGTAGGCTATACAAAACTAACTGACCCTGAGACTGAATCTTAAACATAACCCCTGCACCTTGCCGCAGAACCCTAAACCCTAAACCCTAAACCCTAAACCCTAAACCCTAAACCCTAAAGCCCAAGCCCCTACACCCTAAACCCCAAGCCCTTTGTGACCTTTTTGGGGCTAGGGTACTCAGCCCTTGAGGAAATGCGCTCAATCACAAGCCCTGCTTCCTGTCTTTAGCCGATCCGAAGCAGTGAACCCTGAAACCCTAAAACCTAAACCCTACATTCCTGAACCCTGAAACCTTACAGAGAGTGTTTTATAAATACCCCCCCCCCTTTTCCTAGAATGCAAAGCAGTGGCCTGCCGTTTCTCGATTTCGTTGCTTCTGTTTGAGAGTCAAAATCTCGATCTCAGGTGTTGGGGTTTAGTTTTAGCGGGGCCAAGGCATGAGGGTTTAGGGGTTAAGGGGTTTAGGGTTTAGGGTTTAGGGTTTAGGTCCGGGATCAGGGATGGGTCACCGTTGTCACGAGCCGATGCAGCACAGGTATTAAGTTCGGCTACTGTTGACTAATGTTCGTCCATTCCCCATGGGCTCCACCCTTAGCTACGCCAACATGGGTTCACGACCTGCCAAATCCCAATGGGTCCTAAGTGCCTTTATCAATCTAGCTTTCTTTCTTTCTACCCATCTATCTATCCATCTATCCATCTATCCATCTATCCATCCATCCATCCATCCATCCATCCATCGATCTATCTTTCTATCTGTCTATCTGATATATATATATATATATATATCGAAGCAGCCAGAGTTCAAGCCCGCGAGTCAGGTCGCAGCTGGAAGTATAAGCCCCCCAAATACCAAGAACTATCCTAACTAAACTTCAGCCCTGGCGAAACCTGACATTACAAAGCCCTACGAAATCAGTGTACACACCCCGTAAACCTCGATCTACGAGGCCCTATAAACCACCATAAAACACAGGAAAAAAAACCCAAAAGCCTTATAAACCCCCGTAGAAAACCCAAAAAAACACGAACGCCCGCTAAACACCCGTAAAAATCCAGAAAAAAAGCCCAATGGGGAAGCCTCGAGGTTGCCAGCAGAGCTGGCGCTTCAGCCTTGCTGGGCTCTGAGGCTCTGGTTTGGTTTGGAGTTGATGTTGAGTTTTGGGTTTATATAGGCTTTATATTCTTCAGGGTTGAAAAAGGGTTTGGGGTTTATGTGGAGTTTAGGGTTTAGATAGGGTTTGGGGTGTATATTGAGTTTCGGGTTTATATAAGGTTTGGGGTTTATGTTGAGCTTAGGGTTTAGATAGGGTTTAGGGTTTGGGTGATTTGGGTGGCCTCCGCTGGCCGGAGGATGCAGTCGATGCTAGAGAGAGTCCATAACCCCCAAACCCAAGACCCTAAACATCCTTTCACCGTATAGAAACCGGGCCTCAGCCTCGGCTGCTCCGGCGGCGCCAGTTCGGCCTCACCTTTGAAACTCAGGGTTTCGGGGTTAGGGGTTTAGGCTTCAGAGGTTTAGGGGTGCAGGGGTTCAAGGTTGAGGGTTTGAGTCGGCTCTGATGTCTGCTTAGAGGATCAGGGGAGCTAGTTACTGTAGTAAGCAAATCTAGAAGTACTTGAATGCAGGGTTGCTAGTAATTCGGCCTCTAGTTACCTCACCAAGTCCAAGCAGTATTTTTGGTAGTTCTAAATATAGGGTCCCCTTTGAGGCCCCTAATATAGTACGGCACCCTTATAAAAACGGACCCGAAAAGGGACCCTAATTTGGAGAACTACCCTATCGCATGTGTATGTGGACAGTCCTCAAGCTCCAAGACTTCACGCCAGCAAGTCAGAAAACAAGAAGGTTTAGGGTTTAGGGTTTAGGGTTCAGGGTTTAGGATTCAGGGTTTAGGGAAAGGCTTGTTCGAATTGGTCCCGGAGGAAGGGTATCCCTACAGGGGAAGGGCAACTCCTTAACAAGAAATGGCCAGGCACCATGGCAACGACCCTGTCGGGTGGTGTGGAATCCGAAAGGATGCGAGGACGGTAAAGACACAAGCAGACAGGGCGAGAATGGTTGAACATATACGAAGGAAGGTGCAATGAGAAAGGATGAAACATGGTGCATTCCGCGGAGTATGCTCTGTCCTTTGCGCTCTGCTCTTTGACGTCTGGTCTCTTCCTTGCGCCCCCTGCCTTATGCGCACCAAAAGCAGTAAGGCCATAAACGAACCACCAACCAAAATCTTAGCCCCAAACCCAACACCTGCCCTAAGCCCTCAACCAAAGAAAAATCCCCAATGGGTCCTAGCTACTGTTACAGGGGATACTTTCCCATCCTAGGTAGTATTAAGGAGACCTCTTAAAGGGGACCCTTCTTAACCCCACTTATGGCTCTCTTCAAATACACCTTCCTGAGAGGGTCTATATCTTCAAGGGTC